TGTAGTCCCAGTTACTCGGGAGGCTGAGGCAGGAGAATGGCGTAAACCCGGGAGGCGGAGCTTGCAGTGAGCTGAGATCCGGCCACTGTACTCCAGCCTGGGCGACAGAGCGAGACTCCGTCTCAAAAAAAAAGAAAGATTGCTGTCTACCACCACCTGCATTCTTCCCTAGGTGAAGACAAGAACCCTCATGGGCTAAGCCCTAATTTGGGGGCTTACTGGCCATGGATCATCCAGCGGTCATGAAGGGACAAAGACAGCAAAGAGGCCAGGTGCAGTGGCTCACGCCTGTAATCCTAGCACTTTGGGAGGCCGAGGCAGGCAGATCACGAGGTCAGGAGATGGAGATCATCTTGGCTAACACGGTGAAACCCCGTCTCTACCAAAAATACAAAAAATTAGCCAGGGGTGGTGGTGGGCACCTGTAGTCCCAGCTACTCAGGAGGCTGAGGCAGAATGGTGTGAACCCAGGAGGCGGAGCTTGCAGTGAGCCGAGATAGCGCCACTGCACTTTAGCCTGGGCGACAGAGCGAGACTCTGTCTCAAAACAAAAACAAAAACAAAAACAAAAAACAAAAAGACAGCAAGGGGGTGAGCAAGAGGCAGGGAGACAGGAGATGGAGGCAACCGGCGGAGGCAAGATGAGGAGACGATGAAATGTGCGCAGTGGGCGATCAAAGCTACCACAAGAACCAGAGGATTTTCTCAGAACCATCCTCTTTCCTGGCCCACGGTGGAGCCGAGCAGTGCGCAAGCGGCCATAGCACCGCCACCTCCTGTGAAATCCGTGCTCTGGTCAGGTGCCAAGTCTAAGGGCCTGTTCCCTCACGGCAGTCAAGCAGTGGATTTGGATACCCCATTGCTTGGCCACCCTGGACAGAACCACATCCTTCTCACCCCTTCTCTTGGCTGATTCTCCTCTAACCCCAATTTATTTTTGTCAGCAATTTTCCTTTATTTCTGAGACGGCCTTACTCTTATCTCCCAGGCTGGAGTGCAATGGCACGTTCTCAACTCACTGCAGCCTCAACCTCTTAGGCCTAAGTGATCATCCCCTCAGCCTCCTGCAGGTGTGCACCACCACGCCCGGCTAAATTTTTATTTTTCCAGACGGAGTCTCGCCCTGTTGCCCAGGCTGGAGTGCAGTGGCACGATCTTGGCTCACTGCAAGCTCCACCTTCTGAGTTCAAGCGATTCTCCTGCCTCAGCCTCCCGAGTAGCTGGGATTACAGGCGCGCACCACCACGCCCGGCTAATTTTTGTATTTTTAGTAGAGACAGGGTTTCACTGCATTGGCCAGGATGGTCTTGATCTCCTGACCTTGTGATCTGCTCACCCTGGCCTCCCAGTGTTGGGATTAGAGGCGTGAGCCACTGCACCCAGTCCTTTACTTCTTTTTTGTATCTTTAGTAGAGATGGGGGTTTCACTATTTTGCCCAAACTGGTCTCAAACTCCTGAGCTCAAGCAATCCACCCACCTCAGCCTCCCAGTGCTGGGATTACAGGTGTGAGCCCAACCCATTGTATTTTCTGTCCTAAAATGTGTGCTTCCTTCATGGTTTTGGCTCTTACTCCCCAAGAACTGTATTAGAGCAACTGTTTAAGGCAGGACACTTGGCTGTGAGAGGTCCTGCTGTGTTGACCCCGGGATGCCAGAGTCACGTTCTGTGGCCCCAGCTTGGCCTTTGGCGTATACTGTTGGCTGCCTTCCACCTGCTCTGGGGTTTTTGGCATTTCGTGTGTGGACCCTCACTGGTCAATACTTGGGAACCCCAGGGTTTTGGCATTTCATGTTACTGGTCACCCTCCGGATGGCCCAGGGTTTTGGCACTGACATTTCTTCTAGGATTGCAGGCTGGAGGCTCAATCTAGCAGAATCTTGGTCTTGCCTTTTCTTGCTTACTGCCCTAACACCTAAAATTATAGCTTTTGGTAACAGCCTTTTCTTTTTTTGAGCTGGAGTCTCGCTTTGTTGTCGCCAGGCTGGAGTGCGATGGCGCAATCTCGGCTCACTGCAATCTCTGCCTCCCAGATTCAAGCGATTCTCCTGCCTCAGCCTCCTGAGTAGCTGGGATTACAGGCACGCACCACCACGCCCGGCTAATTTTTGTATTTTTAGTAGAGACAGCGTTTCACTGTGTTGGCCAGGAAGGTCTCGATCTCCTGACCTCGTGATCCGCCTGCCTCAGCCTCCCACAGTGCTGGGATTACAGGCGTGAGCCACCATGCCCGGGCCAGCTTTACCCTTCTTATAGTCACTTTACGCTTTCCCTTCTACACTTTGCTTAGTAGAAGCTTGTCGTCAGGTGCTGTGGCTCACACCTGTGATCCCAACACTTTAGGAGGCCGAGGCAGGTAGACTGCTTGAGCTCAGGAGTTCAAGACCAACCTGAACAACACAGCAAGACCCCGTCTCTACAAAAAAATAGAAAAACTAGCTGGGTGTGGTGGCCCGCTCCTGTAGTCCCAGCTACTCAGGAGGCTGACATGGGAGGATTGCTTGAGCCCAGGGTGAGGTTACAGTGAGCCGAGCCGTGATTATACCACTATACTCCAACCTGGGCAACAGAGCAAGACCTAGTCTCAAAAAAAAAAAAAAAAAGAAAACATGGCCGGGCGCGGTGGCTCACACCTGTAATCCCAGCACTTTGGGAGGCTGAGGCGGGCGGATCACAAGGTCAGGAGTTCGAGACTAGCCTGGCCAACGTGGTGAAATCCCGTCTCTACCAAAAATACAAAAAAAAATTAGCCGGACGTGGTGGCAGGCACCTATAGTCCCAGCTACTCAGGAGGCTGAGGTGGGAGAATCGCTTGAACTCGGGAGGCAGAGGTTGCAGTGAGCCGAGATCCCACCACTGCACTCCAGCCTGGGCAACAGGGCGAGGCTCTGTCTCAACAACAACAAAAAAAAAACAGAAAAAAAAAGAAAAAAATTACTTCTTTTGTTGTATTCCATTAGTGGACAAATGCTTCTCATCTGCTTTCGTGCCACCCAAATTCACCTCTCTGCGGAGTGGGATCTGGAAGGGACGAAGTCACTTGCTTCCCTCCTGCCGCCTCGGCTGGCATCACAGATGTGTCTTGGGCTATTGGGGCGAATCCAAACTTGGCTTTTTTCTTTTTTTTTTTTTTTTTGAGACGGAGTCTTGCTCTGTCGCCCAGGCTGGAGTGCAGTGGCCGGATCTCAGCTCACTGCAAGCTCCGCCTCCCGGGTTTACGCCATTCTCCTACCTCAGCCTCCCGAGCAGCTGGGACTACAGGCGCCCGCCAACCCGCCTGGCTAGTGTTTTTTTTTGCATTTTTTAGTAGAGACGGGGTTTCACTGTGTTAGCCAGGATGGTCTCGATCTCCTGACCTTGTGATCCACCTGTCTCGGCCTCCCAAAGTGCTGGGATTACAGGCTTGAGCCACCGCGCCCGGCCAAAACTTGGCTTTAAAGAAACTCTTTTTTGACACAGAATCTGACTCTGTTGCCCAGGCTGGAGTGCAATGGCATGATCTCGGCTCACTGCAAGCTCTGCCTCCCAGGTTCAAGTGATCCTCCCGAGTAGCTGGGATTACAGACACCACCACCAAGCCTGGTTTATTTCTTTGTATTTTTAGTAAAGATGGGGTTTCACCATGTTGGCCAGGCTGGTCTCAAACTCCGGATTTCAAGTGATCCACCTATATCAGCCTCCCAAACTACAGGGATTACAGGAGTGAGCCACCGTGCCCGGCCTCCCACAGTGCTGGGATTACAGATGTGAGCCACTGGGCCCGGCCTCCCACAGTGCTAGGATTACAGGAGTGAGCCACCACGCCCGCCTCCCACAGTGCTGGGATTATAGACGTTACCAACCGCACCCGGCCTCCCACAGTGCTGAGATTACACACGTGAGCCACCACGCCTGCCTCCCACAGTGCTGGGATTACAGACATAAGCCACCACACCCGGCCAAAACTCAATTTCTACTGCAACACCATTTGGGCCCAATGCAAGTTGGGAGACCATAAAATCTGGTCTTAAACAGTTCTTCATGTCATCATAATCTTACAATTATTCCGTAAAAAGGAAAGCCAATGGAGAGAAGCCTCTTGGGTACAGGCCCTTCACTGGTTCTCTGACCTCCAGGCACAGGAAGCTAAGGGGCCCCTCAGAGCTGCTCCCCCTGGAAGGACACCCTCCCTGGAATCTCCTCAGTTCGGGTCTCACCAACTCTCTAATACAGAACTCCATCAAAAAAGTCATCAGGCACGGTCAGGCGCGGTGGCTCACGCCTGTAATCCCAGCACTTTGGGAGGCCGAGACGGGCGGATCACGAGGTCAGGCGATCAAGACCATCCTGGCTGACACGGTGAAACCCCGTCTCTACTAAAAATACAAAAAACTAGCTGGGTGTGGTGGCGGCGCCTGTAGTTCCAGCTACTCGGGAGACTGAGGCAGGAGAATGGCGTGAACCTGGAAGGCGGAGCTTGCAGTGAGCCGAGATCACGCCACCGCACTCCAGCCTGGGTGACAAAGCGAG